ACAATATTTATAGGCTGGGTGAATGAATGGAAGGGTGGTTGAGTGGTTGAGTGGGTGGGTGGGTGGGTGGATGCATGGGCGGAGGGGGGCCTGTCTATGGCCCAGTGGGCATGAGTGTCTTAGCACAGAGTCTGCTGGCCTCAGAGCCACCAGGCACACACGCTGTCCTGGCTCAGTGTGCTTGCTTAGTCCTCCCTTCCTCTGCCCTCACGTTCAGACCCAAGATTTGTTTGTTTCTTGGGTCTCCTCAGGGCAAGGCCTTTGCACCCCCAGCCTAGGGCCAGCAGCTCTGCCCTGGAGTGGAGGGGTTTTACATAAGATGTTTCTGCAACCAGAGCAATAGCATCTTACAGAGCGCTGACCTCGGGGAGTGTGTGGTGTGTGTGTGTGTGTGTGTGTGTGTGTGTGTGTGTGTGTGTACTCTGCCAGAGCTGCACACAGAAGGAGTATTATCTTCCCTCCCTCCCTGGAGAGACTTGGTTTATATAATCTACTTGTCTCCCAGGCCCATTTAGTTATTGAAAGTGGTCAGAGGTTAGACGGCGGGAAACTGCAGCCAGGTCTCAGAGCCAAAGGGAGAAGGTTCCCATGTAGAGACGCGGAGGAGGACCCGCAGGCCTTGGGTGGGGAGGGTGGTGCCTCAGAGGCACCTGACTCCGCTGATGAAACACACACACCAGCTGGTAAACCAGGAGGCCGGGTTGTCGTTTATGGCAGGGGATGGGGGCTCCTACCTGGACTGGCATTACATGGACTGAGGTCTACATGCAGCTTTCAGAACATGCCAGGAGCGAGGGGTTTGTTGGGTAAAGAATTAGAGCGAAGGCCACTTACACTCAAAGGATAATTCTGACAACCTGCTCAATCTCTCCTTCTCCACTGGAGGGATCTATCCCATCTAAAAAGCAGGGCGGGGTCTATGGTTGAAAGCCGGACACCACCGCCCTGGCCAGGCCTGGAGATACCAATTTTTTTTTCTAGATTCTGTGTCACTCCTGTCATTGTGTGCTCCTTGCCTGGGGCACACCACCCAGTCTGCTCTATCTTGTGACAGTGTTTAGGGCAGCTGCTTCCTAGAGAGTAATTGAGGGAGAGAGCCACACTTTCATTATGACTGAATCTTCCTCCTCCTCCTCCTCCTCCCCCACCTCTCCCTCCTCTTTCTTTTCTTCTTCCTCCTCCTGCTCTTCCTCCTCCTGCTCTTCCTCCTCCCGCTCTTCCTCTCCCACACCCCCACCCCCAACACTTGCTATTCCCTCTGCCCGGAATATACTGCTCACAGATATTTTTTCCACCTTTTTAAATTGAGATATAATTTACATACCATAAAATTCGCCCTTTTAAAGTGTACAGTTAAATGGTCTTTAATATAATTCACAAGGTTGCACCACCATTACCGCTCTCTAATTCCAGAATTCATTAGCAGTGACTCCCCATTTTCCCTCTCCTCAGCCCCTGACAACTACTAATCTTTCTGTCTCTGCAGATTCGCCTACTCTAGACATTTCGTTAAAATAAATCGCCAGTACGTGGTACTGGTGACTCCCTTCTTTCCCTGAACGTGTTTTCAAGGTCCGGCCATGTTGTAGCATGCACCAGAACTTCCTCCTCATTGCCATGTCACATTCCGTCGTAAGGGCATACCACATGTCTCCAGCCACCGGGTGATGGACATTCGGGTCGTTTCCATTTGGGGCAATTACAGATACTGCCCCTGTGAACTTTTATCTGCACGTCTTACCTCTCACCAACGACTTTCAAAACCTGGTAGCCTGGGTCAGCAGCTGTCTGCTGTCAGGCAAGTGGCTAAGCACAGATGTCCTCCCTCCCCTGTGGACCTCATACTTACCCCTGTTGACACCGAGATGCTGTTGTGTTGGGGGGAGTGTGGGCAGCATCGTAAAGTATGTGAGTCACTTGGTACCAACCACCAGCTTGAGTTGGAGGAACAAAGGGGCTGGCTGGAGAGGGTCCTCCAATGAAGTGTGTGTAAACACAGTGCACCCCGTTATACGCCGCGTTCTATGTAAGTGCCCAAGGAGGCGGGGCTTATTTACTTATTCACCAATAGGCTGGGGCCACAGGTAGCCTGTGGGTGGGACCAGTCCTCTATGGCCTGGATTGTCCCTGGAGAGGGAGGACCTCAGAGATGCGAGGCTTTGTCTATCACCTGTGTCACTTTGTTCAGCTGATTTGGGGCCTCCCACTGGTCTGCCAGCCTCAGAAAGGCAGTGTAAGCAGACTTCTCTGTCCTTCCCCAGCCCACCGTGTGGGCCCCAGGCTCTGGGATGATTCCCTCCCCCCTTCCCTGACCTGGGCTTCCCACACCCTCTCCCCCTCCCCCCCTGCACACACCTCTGCTGGACTCTCTTCTGCCAAGACTGGGAGCTCCATGAGGACAGGGACCAACAGCCCTCCTTGTCCTGGCACAATCGGCCTGAGCAGGGTCAGGATCTGGGAGGGAGGAGGAGAAGAGGGAGGAAGAGGAGGAAGTGGAGGAGGAGGACGGGGAGGAGGGCAACATTAGAAATACTATTCTATGTTCTTTAAATGTTTATCAACTCCTTTAATCCTCATACAGACCCTAGGAGGCTGATGCTATTATTCCTCCATTTTACAGGTGTGGAAACTGAGGCACATAGAGGTTAGGTCCTTTAGGCAAAGTCACACAGCCATCAAGAGGAGGAGCCAGTCTGAATGTCACGGTTCAGCTCCAGACCCATTCTTTTAGCTGCTACACTACTTTATATACACACATGCATATATATATTAATTTGGGGGATGGGTGGGTGCACTTAGAGGTCTCCCCTGTGGCTTATTTAGGAGAGCGGCCCCGCATGCCCACTGGGCCATGGGGAGTCCCGGCGCCCAGTTAGGGCTCCATGAGGTTGGGCCCCAGGGTAGCTCCCTCCTGCTTTGGCCATTGTGGGCAGGGAGGAGGCCGGCATGCAGGTCAGAGCCCAGGACTCTGAGCCCCAGACGGGGGCGGCTGGCACCTTCTGGGCTCGTGGAGGGCCACGAGTTGTGGACAGCTCCCTCTGCCTGGGCCCCAAGCTAAGATACCGCGACCTGGGCCGCCAGCTTAGAGGGAGCCTCCGCTTCCTCCCATTGTCTCTGTCCGGCACACCCATGTGTTCCCGCAGTGACCTGAGGCCGGGAGCGAGAGAGGGAGGGAAGGGGCCACCGGAGCTACTGGGGTGGGAGAGGGGAAATGAGA